AGAAAGGCATATTGATACGTCTGCTGCTATGTTATAACGAATGTAAACAATAAAAAAAAGGGAAAAGGTCGTTGAATTCTGTCTATAAATTGACACCATTGTTGCGCGCACACCTCGTTTATTTAATTAGTTTATCTAAAGTGTAGAACGGTCAATGTGGAAAGAGGCAGTTGAAAGGATGAGAAGTCTACACCCAATTCAATGGTGGTTGGCCTGTGACAATGGGGTGGTTAGCTAACTGGGTGTGGCGGTGGTGAGATAGATGTGAAAGTTGTCAATCAACTTTGCTCCCGCTTTATACATTCAACGACTTCACATTACAGTCGCGTCAGACCATTTGTTGACTTCACGGACCTTGGCTTTGTTTGCGATTTCCATAAAGATTTGGGCCGTCCTGAACGGAGTAATGACAAACTGAGGTCGAAATACATGGCTGCTTAACAAATAGAATCTGGTATACGAGATCATGATGGCGACCCCATGAATACCCAAACGGCGATTCAATGGAACAAATAAACTGCAGCCACAATGGAAATGGACCTTCCTGGCTGAGATATTCCATTATATATTTCGTCTTCCATGTATGAATAAACGAATTAATCGACTATATATCCCAATTATTAAATATATATCACACAATTATATTATATATTATATAATTATGTCGAAAATTTTCTTATATATATACAAGGTTAGTTCATTAATTTCCAGGACTGGTTAAAAAATAAAATAAATAAAAAAGCTAAAGAAACATTTTTTATACAGAGTTAAATATTGGACATTCGACCACACCTGACTGAAAGCACGAGTCTCGTGGCGCACGGGCCGATCTAAAAATAGAACAAAACAACTTCCTTGTAAGGTTCGCATTTCTAATTTTAAAATGGCCATTTTCGAAGAGCAGAGAATCTGCATTAAGTTTTGTTTTAAATTGAAAAAAGGTGCTACTGAGACGTATGAATTGATCAAAGAAGCTTTTGACGATGCAGCTTTATCCCGTTCAAGAACTTTTGAATGGTTTTCACGCTTCCTAAAAGGTCGGGAAAAGGTAAACGATGATCAGCATACTGGGCGTCCAAGATCATTACGTTGCGAGGAAAACAAGCTCAAAATAAAGGAATTAATTAAATCTAACAGAAGAATTTCTATTAAAGACTTATCTTCAGAGACCGGACTATCTGTAGGACTGTGTCATCAAATAGTAATAAAAGATTTGGACATGATCCGGACGTCTTCAAAATTTGTTCCCCGGATTCTGAAAGAGGAACAAAAGGAGGTTAGAATGGATGTCTGCAAAAACATGGTTGAAATGACTCGGACCGATCCAGAATGTATGCAAAAAATCATTACCGGGGATGAGACATGGGTGTATCAGTATGACCCGGAAACCAAACGTCAATCCAGCCAATGGATTGAAAGAGGGGAACCGAAACCCAAAAAGGCAAGATTTACAAAATCCAAAGTCAAGACATTGCTTGTTACATTTTTTTTATATTAATGGTTTGGTTCACCATGAATTTATTCCTTTCGGACGTACAATTAATCAAGAGGTTCATTTGGGGATAATGAGGCGCTTAAGGGAGGCAGTGCGCCTTAAAAGACCTGAAAGATGGCAAAACAATGACTGGATACTTCACGCCGATAATGCGCGGCCGCACACAGTCCATGTTGTTTTGCAGTTCTTGGCCAAGCATTCAACCATATAGATCCCTCATCCACCCTATTCCCCCGACTTAGCCCCCAATGACTTTTTCCTCTATCCTAAATTGAAAATGAAGTTAAAAGGAAGGAAATTTGACAACGTTGATATGATACAAGCTGAATCTAAGGCAACCTTGAGGAACCTCTCAAAAAGTGATTTTATCTCCTACTTCAACAATTGGAAAAAAAAGCTGGAACAGGTGTATTGAGGCAGGAGGGGCATATTTTGAAAAATATTAAATTAGTTTTTATTTGTTTTATTTTTTCCAAATATACAGAGCAGTCCTGGAAATTAATGAACATACCTTGTATAATAACACAGGTCTACAAAAAAAACCCTTTTTTTTTGCCGGAGAAATCCTGATGTTGATTCTAATGTAACTTTTCATGCTGAATTCAAAAATAAAATCAGAAGTTTTCCATCACCCATAGTTCTTGCAGGATAACCATTTTTTTCTATAAATTGGTATATGCAAAAAATGTTACGTAAGCATTTTTAAAGTAAACATCATTACATTAGCTAGCGCTTTATTTTTGACAAGAAGAGTTGATATGTGGAGCCAAAAGCTTTATTTTATTTGTTATTAATTAAATTTGCTCTTTAAGAATCATAAATATTAATTTAAATAACAAATTATTGGATTTTTAATTAAATATGTTTATTTTATAATGCAATCTGTTTTTATTTCAACTAAAAAATAACGACAAGCTCTGGAATGCTATTTGCTGAATAACAGTTCCACATGTATATATCTAAATTTAACCTAACGATTTGTTTAATAGATTTGCATCAGAAGTGACAGGTAAATTTGAAGTGATCAGTTTATTCTTCTCTATCGATTTGCTTTTATAAATCGTGTGCACTAGACTGTGTCAATATGCAGAGGCTTTGCCTTAGTATTGCCTGATATTTTCGGTTACATTTGTGGGGAATTAAAGGTTCAAAGGCGAAACTTTACACACCCCTCATCAAAAAGTGCTATCAACTTTAGTTTGGCTGTAAAGTCGGTGACCAAGATAACTTGGGCTCCTCATTATTGTTGTGAAATTTTTGCTCGACGTCTAACAGGGTGGATTAAAGGTGAACGTCATATGCCTTTTGCGGTTCCAATGATATGGAGGGAACCTAAAGACCATTCTTCATACTGTTATTTTTGTTTGACAAAGACTACAGGTATTACATCCAAATCAAGACATATACAGTTGAATATCCATATTTGCCTTCTGCTATAAGACCGGTTCCTCATAGTGATATTTTACCTGTGACACAGGCTCATGAAAATGTAATATTTAGTGACGATGATTCAGATAGACAAGGTGCAGGTGCTTCATCTGAACCTCATTTGTCAACCCAAGGAGATTTGAACGACCTCGTACGTGATTTAGATTTATCCAAAAAACAGAGTGAACTTTTAGACTCTAGGTTGAAAGGCTGGAATCTGCTGCATAAAGGCATAAAAGTATGCCTTTTTCGCAAGCGTCAATATGAATTTCAAGACTTCTTTTCACAAGAGAATGATTTAGTATATTGCAATGATGTTATTCTAATGGAAGCGCTTGGTCATGACCATGATACAGAAGAGTGGCGTTTATTCGTTGATTCTTCAAAAATTAGTTTGAAAGCTGTTCTCCTTCACAACGGAAATAAGTTCCCATCAGTGCCAATAGCACATGCATCTAACATGAAAGAGACTTACGAAAACATGAAACTGCTTTTGAAAAAGATAGAATATGAAAGATACGGTTGGTAAATATGCAGCGATTTGAAAGTCATTGCTCTCATGCGTGGATTACAGTTTGGATATACAAAATATTGTTGTTTTCTGTGTGAGTGGGATAGCAGATATAGGGAAAGGCATTACATTAAAAAAAGCTGGCCAAACCGTGAAATCTTTACTCCAGGACATAAAAATATTGTGAATCCTCCCCTGATCTATTCATAAAATATTTACTTGCCACCATTGCATATTAAACTGGGGGTCGGTGGAAGGCTGGTTAAACCGTTTGGTTTTCGACCACTAGGACCCGGGTTCGATTCCCGCATTGGACACTTTTTTCTGTTAAAAAAAAATGCTCCAATGGCCCCCGATTCTTGCAAAAGTCCAACCCCACCAGCGAGTGCAAGTAACCAAACGGGGCTCTGGCATTTGTAAGTGCAAAGTCGAACTGCTTTTCACATGTGTAGACATGTGGTGCGCTTACAGTAAAAAGCAGTCGCTGACTACCCACCATGATTATCATGGCCTGTACCACGTGTACTAGGGATAAGCAAAAAAAAAAAAAAAACATATTAAACTGGGATTAATGAAGAACTTTGTCAAGGCAATGGATCGAAATGCCAGTAGATTTGCCTACCTAAAACAAAATCGCTCTAGCATAAGTGATGCAAAATTAAAGAAGGCATTTTCGTTGGACCTCAGATTCGAGAATTGCTGCAGGATGGAAATTTTCAAAATATTTTGAATGAAGTTGAAGCAGCAGCATGGAATTCCTTTAGAAACGTTTGCAAGAACTTCTTAGGAAGTGTCAAGGTTGAAAATTACCGGGACATAGTTAATGATCTGTTGCTTTCCTAAAAGGCACTGGGATGTAACAATTCTCTCAAAATCCATTTCCTGCATTCACATCTGGATTTCTTTCTAGACAATCTTGGTTCAGTTAGCGATGAGCATGGTGCGAGGTTTCATCAAGATATATCAAGCATGGAGAAGCGGTACCAAGGTAAATGGAGTCCCGGTATGCTTGCTGACTACTGCTGGACACTCAAGAGGGATGTACCACAAGCAAAGTATAGAAGAAAATCCACTGTCACTACTTTTCAATAAAATAAATATATTTCGTTCATATAGGCCTATATATTAAAAACATTTCCAAATTTCAAGTAGGTGTATCTCAAAAATCTTGCGTTATAGAAAAACCCTAATGGTATATTTGGAATCAGCACAAAGAGTTAAATTTAGATAAAATGCTGTTTCTTTTGGGACAAAGAAAAATAATTTTTGATAAACCAGTGTAATGTAATAAGGTTTATGCAAAAATGCTTACGTAATATTTATTGCGTTTTTTGCTGTATTTATCCCAATACCAAAAAAAGGCTGTCACGCAAAAACCATGGGTGATGGAAAATTTTTGATTAGATTTTTGGGTTCAGCATGAAAAGTTGCACTAGAAACATCATCAGGTTCTCTTGGGCAAAAAGCTTGTTGACCAGTGTAATTAATACATACAGTTATCAGCGGCATGCACAATTCTGTCACGTGTCAAGTTACGGTAAGTAAAAATTTAAAATTGAAAAAATATGCCGAAACCGAGATCGAACCAGGGACCTTTAAATCTTCAGTCTAACGCTCTCCCAACTGAGCTATTTCGGTTTATTTTATTTATTTCTATAGAAGCTTCTATCTTTATAATTATGTATATTTTCAAAAAGTCAATTTACACCTCTTCGTTTGAGACCATGGGAATACTGACTAATTCATTATGCTAACATATTTAAAATATAATATAATTTAAAATATAATATAAAATAAATTTAAAATATACAAGTATCAGAGTCATCAATCAATTCTGTCATCTGTCATGACCATTTCTTATAAGCATCGGTGGTTCAATGGTAGAATGCTCACCTGCAACGCGGGCGGCCCGGGTTCGTTTCCCGGCCGATGCATTTTTTTTTTTTTTACAATTTTAAAAACTCATTTATATTATTATCTTTATATATATATAAATCAGCGTGTGTATGTAGGTATGTATGTTTGTCAATTATACACGTCCACAATACGTAACTAATATGACTGAAATTTTAAAAGTATATAAAGTAGAATCTGGAAAAACTCTTAGTGAAAATTTCGGGTCTCTCTTCCGAATATCCGTCGTGCTATTTGCAAATTTGCTCTTTCGCTCGCGCCTCTAGCGGTGAAAATGGGGGGTAATACCAGCTGACCTAATGTACATGTAAAGTTTGGAGCGGGACGTTTCACAAGAGTGACATCCACGGCTCCAATTTAAAATTGTAACGAATAGTATTTGAATAAAAACATTTAATCGGGTAAAACCCGGGCGTTGCCCGGGTCATTCGGCTAGTTCTGTAAAAGACCAAAATGTCTTAATAAAGCGATTTTCTGTTGTTGTATATATACAATTTCTCTATAGTAACTACATATTACGTTAGAATATCACGACGGTGTGTTGCTGATTAGATCTCTAATCTTTAAAGTTGCAATATGGGGGGCATCTAACGCTGGTTCTCTGGCGCATTATATGGTTATATATATATATATATATATATATATATATATATATATATAATGCGGCCCCTCAAAATAACTGATTTATCCGTTTTTTTTCTTTAAATTCAACGCTGCAAGAAATATTTGGGAATCATAAAAAAGCATTAAAAATAAAATTAGTCCAAATTCTACGTCTATAAACGCTAGTGGAGAAGTTGAGAGAATATATAAAAAGTGTGATTTATGAAGGAGCTACTTATATCAATTCTGTATTCCTCAATCTCTAGTTGACACACATAACAATGGCCTGTCTATCCACCAGTGGAGTTATCTGTCCGAAACATATTATATAGTGAGGATCGGATCTAACCTTACGCTTTGAAGCAAATCACTAATTAGATGGCGTTTCGATAATTAATTTACATTCTCTCTCTTAATTAATTGACATGGTAGAGGCAAATGAAGACTGCGGTTCTGGTTCAGAGAGTGGTAAGACTGCCAGGAGTGAACGCTCATTAAACTGGGGTACTCAACGCCTGTCTCTCCTGGAGGTAGTGGGAGATTGGATTAGGTTAGGAACAGTCATTTCTACTCTACAAAGGTGGTCGCCCAATTGGCTAGCTCATATTACGGTACTGTAAAGATCCTCTAGAAAATTCTTCCGGAATATAGAAGAGGGCCCCAAATGACCAAGCAAACAGCTTGGATAGAGACGAAGACCCTGTGAATGTAGAAGAGGGCTACAAATTGACTAATCATACAGTGTGGATAGAGACGATCTTCCTGTGAATATAGAAGAGGGCTACAAATTGACTAATCATACAGTGTGTAAATAGAGAAGATGACCCTGTAGACAAAGGAAGAGGGCTACAAAATGACAAACCAGATAGTATGTGTGTATAGAGACGTGTGAATAGAGAGGAGAAAGAGCCACAGAAAGACAAACACCGCGTGGAACAGGGCTGGGCACAAGAAGCAGGTTTTGCCGAGGAAATCAATGACCCTCCCCCCCTCATACTGCAGCAACCTGTAATTTAAAACGTCCTCATATTTCCTCCCTCACGGGTGAATAGATTTTGTGAAGTAGCCGTAACTGAGGATAGAGGAAATTTTTAAATCCAATAAGGATGAAATGCTTTTAAAACGATCCTTCTTCCTATTTTAAATCTGCATTTCAAAATTTTCATCTTTTCTCTTTCTCATTCACATTTCATTGTATTATATTAATTTAACACTCTCATTATTGAATCAATTATATTGAGGATATAGTTTTCACAGTTCTTTTGACGTTCTTTTTATTTTAAAAACAGTAAAACCTCCCACAAGAGACCACCTTTTTGAGCGACCACCTATGTATAATAAAAAATCAACTAAACCAATCTACAATGAGAGGCCAATACTACCCTAGTTTTAGTCTCTCTTGGAAAGATCACCTGATATATTACTCACTTTATCAAAATTTGGTTCTAATCCTTATTGAATTGTTAAATTTTGACATAAACTGCTCTCATGATCTTTTCGAGGTTTTGTCTTAGGAAATTCTTTTCTATAATCAACATGCACTTTAATAATGTAAACCGAAGTGTTATTGACGTCATTTGCAAGTTGGAAGTTTGTTTCAAGAAGAGTGGTTGATGAAGCTCTATCTTTTCAAATAAACCAAAATGTCTCACAAAATAAACACTAAAATTCAAGATTATTCTTAAATATACCATATTGTGTAAAGAATGTAGGATTTGAAAATGTCAAATACATATTAGACATACTTATTTTGGCATATGTTTATATAAACTCACGGAGAAAATTCACATAACTGTTCAACGATTTGTCATATGTGTGAATAGTACACTTATACACAACTAAAATTTACAGACCGTTGACATGGAAATTTGTATTTACTTCCAAGTAATCTTTCGTTTGTAATGTGCGTGCATGTATAAAAAATATTCCTATATCTTATAAACAAACTTACTATTTTTTTTTTAGCCTATTCAAATATTCGTTGGTAGAAGAATGTATCTAAAAATCAATTGCTTAACAAATTTTAACATACATTTTTTTTTTGCCATTGTACTGTTTTTATATATAAATTAAGTGCCATCACTCATTTTATACTTAGAAAAAAAAAACTATCAAAATTTTAATGATATTTTTGCGTATTATAATGTTCATAGTTAGGTTTCGCGAATAGATTATGTGTGTGGAAGAATAAATTAAGAGATATAAAAGTAATTGTCAATTATCATATTTTTTATATTTAGTCAAAAATAATGAAAATAATTTTAAAAAATATTTTTAAAAATTTATTTGGCTGTATATATGAGCACATTCGTTTAGGGGATATGAAGAAAACATTAGTCGTAATTGAGAGTATGATTAGATGCTATGCGAGAGAAAGAGGCTGCAAGATGGGGTATGGCTAGGCGCCCAGAAGTTGAGAAACAGGGCGGGAGACAACCCCCATGGGTTATACACACATATAAACATATAAGTAAGCTGCATATGTAACCACCTACCTCTGTAGACCGTGTATATCCTTCAACGCGGCGATATCCAGTAGATGCAATGCGGAACTCGGCTCTAAAAGGACAAAAGCTCAACTCGACCGAACGTCACGAATTGTTTTGAAACCAAGGTGGCAGCAGACATGGAGGGCTTCGCGCATGCGCCCTGCCACTATCACTAGAGGGCGCTAGTTCCCTTCATTTTGGTATTTCTCGATTCTTTTGATATTTATTATTTTTCTTTTTCTATCGAATTTTTAGACTTTTTGCCCGTCATCTAGGATGATTTTCAAATGGATTTTCCATATTTCTCCGTTTAATTAGTTTATTCGATTTGGTTGCATGTGCATTAGATTTGTTAGGAATATTGTTGGATTGGCGCATGTAATTGGCTTTGCAAGCTAATGAGACAAACATAAGCCGAGAAAATAGATTAATTATTTATTATATAAGATAATTCTTTTTAAAACAGGTTACCTGTTACCTTCCTCAACAGTTTAAAGCCATTTTTAACCTTTATATACGAAATAGAAAATAACAGCTCTTTATAATTCTTAGACAATCAAGCTTACCAGAATAAATAGCAAAATAGAAACTAGTATATATAGAAAACCAACACATACAGGAAAATATCTCAATTTTAATTTATTTGGCCCCACATTAATCATAAAATATCCGTTATAAACACACTATCTAAAAGAATTTCCACCCACTGCTCCTCAAATATTAAAAATATTAAAACTGAACTAAACATATTTTACAATGAGATGAAAAATAATTAATATCCTCCAGGTTTCATCAAGAAACATATATATATATAAGCCCACCAACAGTCCTACAAAAAATAGTGAAGAATCGAAAAAATACTGTGCACTGCCATACAATTATGGCATTGCAAGAATAACAAGAATACTTAAAAATTACCATATCAAAACCCGATACAAAACCACAGCTAATCTAAAAGAAATTCTACGCCATCCCAACACTAAACATAATAGCAATCAAGAATTCAAATCAAACATAGTATATCGCATTCCATGCAAATCATGCCCTGCAACCTACACAGGAGAAACCGGTAAAACTCTAGAAAAAAAGAGTATATCAACACGAAGCAGCTTTTAAAAACCATAGCCCATTATCACTTTTAGTAAATCACGCACTCAAACAGGACCATATAACAAATTTTGAAAAAACAGATATTATATACAACAACATTCAAGATAAACAATCAAGACTCTTTTTAGAAAGTTGGACCTCAATGAAAGATACCAATAGTATTAATAGAAAAATTGACATCCCTCCGTTATATTTACAGTTCAAATCGATCTAAAATTATTTTATTATACTTATTAGGAATCATATATTATTATTTTAATTTTATAAATGAACATATATAGTCTATTCTTATTTATATATGTGTGTATATATTTTAAATATCACCCCCATAGTTGTAAATATTTTATATATCGTCGCGTGATCAACTGAAAGCAGTTTAAAAACAAGAAAAACCCTAACGAAGTTAGGCGTACAGCCTATTAAAATATTGGCATTTTGTAATAAATAAAATGTTTTGTTTTATTTTAGATCCAAAATATGCCTTTTAAATAATAATTTCATATGGATTGCTCTATATTCAAG